CAGCTCAGTTGTGCTTGCTCAGTGGGAGATATGGGAATTGAGCACTTCTGAAATGAGAGCACATATCTGAATACAAGTACGTAAGCTGGGACTTGAGTTAGAAAATTTAAGCTACTGTAAAATCACATATGAATGAAACGTTACGGGAAAAGTAGCCAGACAGTTCTCTAATTTCATCCCTGTATTTAATATTTTATCTTTCCTTGGCACAGAATAGGCCTGACATTCTTCATGTAGGGATATTTGAGAAATATCATATAATATATTGCTTTGCATTTGTTACTGCCAAGTTTAATTTTATTACTATACACATGCAGAATATCAGAGTAGGAAGGGTGTCAGGCGCTGCTGGTGAATTAATGCTCAGGGCCAAACAGTACACATCAGTTTCTTGGCAACATTCCTCTTTGCTAATAATACCATTTATAGGTTTCTAACATACTTGGAGTATTTCTAAATACCAAGGATAAGTTTATATGCCAGAAAACCCATTTCTGTTATCTGAAACATTGAAACAATAGCAAGTTTGAGACTGTAAGAGCTTTGACTCTTTGACCTGAAGTCTCTATTATAAGGTGTTTGTCTGCTAACACGAAAATATGACCTAGTGGTCAGTCCAGGTCTCTAGGTGCTATAATACAAATATTAATATTAAAATGACATGTATTTAAGTGACATTTAGAAGACTAATTTTTATATTCCATCCAATTGATCTTTCTGAAATACTTCATTCGTTTGCAACTAGCAGCACTCAAGAAAGTACAGGCATGTTGATAAAGGCAGTGAGTGCAAAACAACAGAAATCACGAGTGACTTATTCTTAGCGAACAATTTGTCTTTCAAAAGTGAACCATTTCTGCCTTTGAATTGTTCATAAACAGTGATTTAAAAATGTATCAACATTTGTTGTAATTTTTGCTGAGCAAAGGGCTGAGAAATTATTGGAAGAAACATTTAAATATTCGTTTGAAAGAGCTTTCACATAGACATATATTCAGTGAAAACAAATACAAAAATCAAAAGGAACATGATTAACAGCCTGCTTGAATGCATGAAAATATTTCGCCCTCTTTAAGTATATGAATGTAGAGATAACTCAGACCTCCTTCTAGCTTAAACTTTTTACTTACAGTAAGTGTGTGAAATTTCCAGCTAACTCATGTGTTTTCATAAACAGGACAAGTGCTGGCTCTTTTTTTAGAAACAACCTTACATTTACCAAATTTTCTTACAGCTGTTTGGGATTTTGAATATGATTCATGAAGACAAGCAGTCTACCGGATCCTACAGATAAATTATTGCTTGCATTATTCTGGGTTAAAATTATACTCTATAAGATGGCTATAAATATTAGTCAACACACAAATCATAAATATTAGCTAACATACTGGTCACGACATGTACATCCATATTTCTTGATATACCTTGTAGATACATCCAAGAAGTATGGATGCAATGTGGAATTGAAATTGTTAACAGGGAATGATTTTCTTCTTCAGTAGAAGAAATAGCTAAAACATTAAAAAGTTGTCAGATATATTGTCTGAACTCTAATTCTGAATATTTTTTTTCTCATTAATAAACAATCCCACAGGACCAAACTCTTGAAAAGTTTTTCTTGAGCTCAGTAGCCAAGAGAGAAGAGGCCAAGAAGTTATGGCCCTATAAAAAATTCAGAAAACCTTTCTGTTTCAGTCAGCAAAACATATCCCCAAACTCCTAATTATAGGAAATTTTTCTTTATACCTTACTCTTTCATGTTATCTCCTAAATAAAAAAAAAATCACTTAGTAATCGTACATGTCTTCTGAAACTCCCTTGCTGCCATTAAGCCATTCACTTCTTGTTCTAGCCACCTTTGTAAAGGAGATGAGATGGCTCATTTTATAAACTCAATAATTTGTACACCTTTACCTGTGCAGTTCTTTCTTTTCTAGCCCCCAGTTCTGCCAGTGTTCCCTCACAGACCAAGATTTCTTGTTCTCTGATCTTCCTCAGTGTTGTCTTCTGACCTCTTTTCTGTTCCTCCATATCTTTATCAAAATGCGGTGCTCAAAACTGGGCTCCAGCTGATGCTGTTCCAATGATGACTATATCTGTAGATTATAAGACTTATTTCATATATCTCACAGGCAGTACTCCTGCATATATATGCCAGAATATATGTATTTTTTCCTTTTCTGCTATAGCATGACATGGCTGACTCATTCTTTTCTGTGTTTGTGCTGTGGGTTAGCTAGTCTGGACTATTTCACATATGACTTAGAATTTGAATAACAATACAAACTTGTTCGAATCTGATATTCAGAGCATATTTCTGGCGCTTATTGATGATTTCCTAACAGCTGAGTACACCATTCAATGGATGGTTTCCCTTTAGTTTACCTGAGAACTAAAAAATTGTTCTTCAGTCTACCGTGACCATATCATTTTAATTTTGATAAAATTTGCCAGTCACATTTTTTTTTCCAATTTTTTCCAAAGTTTTTATAAAATGGTGGAAGTTGAAGTGGCAATATTTCCAATAAGGAAACACTGAGTTTTTTAAAGGGCAACACAAAGTCTCATAAAAACTGGATTTCCTGGCTGGACAAACAGTGAACGTGAAAGTCCAGCCCTAGGCTCAGCTGGTGGCTGCTCCCAAGAGCAATGCCAACACCATACGCCTGGGCTCTGCTAGCAACTTTACTACTTGCTTGGCAGGACACAAGGGGAGCACATATGTATCCCTGAGGCAGGTTGCCTGGGGTCCGCCTGGGAGATAGTTGTGGCTGCAGGAGGAGGATGGACTGCAGAGCTCGTGGGGCTCACAACCCCTGTCACGGCCACTTGCAGAACAGCTCACAATCCCAGATCTGCCTTGCAATCGCACGTTCTCTGGAGTTTATTCACCTGTGCAAGTGCACTCGAGTGATTAGAAACTAATTCTCATCTTATAGGCAACTATGAAGTTTCTTTATTCATGTTTATTAGGCACCAACTACTTTTATAGCTACTTTAGAATGAGAGCCTATTTCCATGGGCTATCCAATGAATTAAGATCTGAACAATAAGAAAAGACAAATGGAAGGCTACAAAGCCTCCAGATGGATTTCATGAAGTACGTTTTATGCCTAGAAAAGTTCTGCTGATAAATCTTATAGATAATAAAATGTTTCGGCTAACACCTTTATAATATAGCACTGCTGTCTTTGAAAACTTCTACTGGAAATGTTTTGTTGTTAATCCTGCTGATCCTATATGAGCATCGTTGCAAACAGTCATAAAAGGGAAGTGTTTGGGTTTACTAGATAGCATAAATTATGTTACAATTTCTGTATGCTCCTTTAAAACTGTTTAGGGAACAGATAGCTGACAACCTAAGAGTAAAGCTAAAAACTGGAAACTATTAACAGAAGGTAACTGAAAAGCAGTTTTACTCCTTTTTAGTATTGAGGGTCATAAAATATGACTGGGTATTATGACAGTTGTTTAAATATTTAGCAAAATAATACAACTTTTGTGAAAGAGCATAAATTTAACTGCAGTTAGGAACTTATAGCTCAATATATACAAGAGGAAACATGAAATTTAAATTAAAGACAGAAGCATAGAGATGTGCAATTGTCCCCTTTTCAAATGAGGAGTCATTGTTTTGCACGTACAGATATCAGCAGTGTACCTTGGGATCTCCATGGCTGTGGAGGTCTGCCCCATTTTGTTACTTTTAGGGTTGGCGCCACAGGAATTGACCTGTTTCATAATTTATGTCGAGCACCATTGATACTGATTAGTGAGTCAGAGTTCTGCACCACTAAATTCAAAATTTTATCATTTCATCTTTTCCAATGTTTATGTAGGCGGCTTTTCATTGATTTATATTGCTTTGGGAAATGGAATCATTTTATTTTACAAATATAGGAAAAGAGAAGCAACAAATTAAATGCAAAGCTACAAAAATTATTAGGGGACTGACCCTTACTTTGACTTCTTGAAGGCTGAACAGATTTCACATGAATATTGTCTCTTTAAGGCCAACATTTTATACTTATGCTATGCAGCTGAGGAGCATTAATAGTAGTTAATGTAGTGAAACCGTTCTTGGGTTCATGTTGTGCTCCAAGTGAGTATGATGGCCACAGGTTCAGTTTCTTCCCCACCAAAAAAGAAGCCAAGATAATAGCACTACTCCCCAAACCTGACAGACTGAATTTGCTGCCTAAATGGAGACCAAAGTTGCATTCCTGTGGAAACAAATTTATTAAACATCTTTCTGACAGCAAAAGTGCTTCTTTCAGAATAAGGCTGAGGGTATTTGCTGAGACTACAAGAGGTGGGAAGGCCAGCAGCAGTGACACCAGCTCTATAAAACCCCCCTACTCTCTTCCGGGAGAGTAATCTTCAGTTTCCTTTGCAGCTGATCTCAGGCTTCACATGCTTTTTTTTTTTTTTTTTCCCCAGAAAAATAGCATACTATTTTGTTTAAAAAATATGTGAACTGAGGAGAAATTGGCAACCCTAATTGTGACTGTTCTGCCTGCCTGTTTATTGGTTTAAAATATTTCCTGATGAAGTATGAAGACATTTTGTGCCTCAATAGCATGAGTACAATATTCAATGTTTTGAATGACTTAGATCTAGGAGGATTGTCTGAGTAGCTGTAATTCGAAGAGCACATGTGAAAACACTCTCCAAGGAGTAACACGATATCTTTGGATACAAAGGTTGTTTCAAATGAAAATTTCAGCTGATCGCTGCATATTCGTAGTCAGATCTCAAGCCAGTCAGCAGACTTGTGAAGGCAGAGAGTCCATGAAAGAGAGCAGCAGTGGCACAAGCTTTTTGTAATGCCTGTACTGCCCAATGAAAAATGGACTGATCTCTCCTGCTATACAGGAATTCAAGTCTTAAAAAGTTAAACAGTGCTGTGGTTCGGATGCTGTACTAACATCAAAGACAGCAGGCTTTTTTATACTGAAGATAAAGAGGGAGGTGTCTGTTACTGTTTTTAGGAACTCCCTCTCTTTTACTGTTTGTTTATATTCTGTTACTGAACTGCAAAGTTCTCAGTGGAAAGGAGGTTTCAGACGGAAAACCATGGAGAGATAATGGTAAGGCTAAAGTACCAAAAGAGAATAAGAAAAAAACGTGGGGAAAACAGAGTAACTGAGGAATTTCCATTTACTTGGTCTCAAACTAGCAACACTTATTCTTCTCAGGCCTGAATTTGGAAAACATTAAAGTCCTTGGCCCAGGGAAAAAGGGATGCAGGTGGCAGAAGGAAGCAGATCTCTGACACAAACATATTTTGCCTCTCTCCCCAGGCCAGCCCAGGCAGGAGCTTGTTGCTGTGACCAGAAGCAGAGGAAGAGGCTGCCACTTGCACATCCAGCAGTGATGAGACAGCAGCACGTCACTCCTGAAAGACGCGGAGAAATGCTGTGAGCTCCTAGCGGTGAAGAGTGTCCCCTCTAAAGGGGACGAAAGTACTCCAATGCACTGTGGTAAGCCTCAGGCCCTCATATTCAAGTACTTTATTGAAAGATGTTTGTTTGATATTAAAAGACAAGAATTTCCAAGGTGGCAAGCATTTACAACTACCAGCTGCCTTCACAGGACTTGATGCTCTACCTTGTTGAGCGAGAAGGAGCAACAAATGAAGCAAAATTATACAAAATTAGTAACCCCTTTGAAAACACAGCATTTATCATTCTTGCCTCATTTCTCCAGGTGCAAAACAGGAATCATATGTACTGCCCTCTTTCACACATAGGATTGTCAAAATGACTAGGAGAGATGCGCTTCAAAAGTATTTGTCATATGGAGAATGTTACATTTCAGTGTCAGCAAACTTTATTCTGTGTTCAAAATCCCATTAAAATGTTTCCGAACAATGATGCTGGGAAGTGTACAGGAACTGGAAAAATGGAGGAGGGAAAAATGAGGAAAAGAGTTATAAACAGGCGGACAATCACATCTTCCTTACTAATTTTCTCCTTGTGTTTTAATTAATTTAGATCTTATTATACCACCAAGTGCAATTTTCCCTCCTGTCAGCTAGAAATTCCATCCTTGCTAAGTTGTTTGAAGGAGCAGGGTGTTAGTTTGCTCAACAACATTCAGTTTTCTTTCATTTACTAGCGTCCTTAGGTGCTTTGTCAACATAGTATACCAAACATAGTTCTCTAAAATCATTAGTTTTGACTCAGAATTTTGCTTTAAAAAGTTAATATCTGAAATAATGCCAGGCTAGCCAGCAATCCCTTTCTACCAGAACAGTTATTTTAAAAATCATTTATTCCCAAGTATCCAAAAATGAACTTTTCTATAAGGACTAGGTGAAATAAATATAAGAGTATTATTCCTATTTTAGTTAATAAAATACTGGGGGCTTTTTTCTTTCCTTTTTTGAGTGCCTTTTGTCAAATACTTTCAGTAGTCATAGAGATAGTGACCCACACATATCTGCACAGATGTAGGCAAAGCTGCCTGTTTGCAGATGGTATACTAGCCTATCTATAAATTGCACTATTTTTGCAATAGCCTTCTATGATAACCCGATTATTCCAATCTATGTTATTCCTAAGCACCATTTTACTATGGTTTTTTTTAGCCCTGAATGCAGCTGTGTGACTAAATAGACACAGGTATGTAGGCACATGGCTTACATTATTGAATTGCATATAATTATATATTTTATATATATATAAAATCATTATATTTTTCTTTAAGTATTTCAAAATATATTTGCAAGTAGTAGGGTAGAGCAAAAAAATCCCAAGCCAAAACCCCTCTCAACTCTTTCAGAAATAAGTCTGCCAAAGATTTTCTCCTTTAAAACAGCTATATTTAAGTTGCCTAAATCAAATAGAAGAAATTATTAGACATTGAATTAAAATTATTCTATGACTTCAGCTTATAGTATGCGTCTTAAATAACAGTGGTCCTTCAGATTCATACTCATTCCTAAGACTTTACCAGCCTGCACTACTCAGTATGGTAAGTATGCTTCTGACCTATAGAAGCAGTATTGTGGCCTCCGTTTTTACTCTCTACTCTTTAGAGGCGGCAGCGTGGACACTAACAGAGATGTGAGAAGATACTGGTTTCTTTTCAGCATCCAGAAGCTGACTGTACACTTCATAATATGGAGACACAGAAGAGAGACCCCCGTCTCTAGGAGAAGGTGAGTGTTTCAGTGGGCAATATACTCAACTCCTAACTGCTTGCGATCACTGTGTTCTCAGATCCCTCATAGCTTCCCCGCTGCACTAAAAATAGGTTACTAGAAAGCAAGATTGGCTCCAAGTCAGTCTTTCTAGTTGCATAAAGCTTTCACCAATGTCGTGGAAAGCAGGATAGCTAAGTTTGGATCCCATCAAGCTGAAGAGCACAAATCCAGGTCTTCCACTTCATTATGGAAGATAACTGCTATAGAAAAAAAGGGCTTCTGTGCTGAACTCAACATTGCTGATATCTCTTAGGCTTGCTCAGAGCATGCCTGCCAGGTTAGGCTCCCAAGAGACTCAAATTCCTTGTTTCTAAACCCTAGCTGAGTTTCTGCCTGAGGCAAACTTTGATAAGTCATCTCAGTCAAGGGTATCTCCACAAAGACAAAACTCACATTTTCGCATACCTAAGCAACTTTTGTATGCTGCTTAGTGGAATTTTCTATAGATTCCCTCCTCCCCCCAAATATACTCCTACAGTCAGATAAGGCCATGGCAAGAAAACCAGCTGAAAAATGTGAATGTGTCCTACATTCACTTCTCGGCACCCCAAAGATTATTGATGCAGTCAGGATGAGAAATAAAAACATTTTCTCTTTTATGAAAAGTAGTTTATGATAATTTCAGTGAGCTATTTGATAATTTAACACTATGGCCAGTTGTAACTGTACAGCTGAGGAGACAGTAAGCTACGTTACCAGATAGGAATTAAAGACCACTGGTAGTACAAGAGAAGTGGGAACTTCCCATGCTGGTTTGGCAGCCATGGGCAGCATCTCATGAATCTATACTCATGTTCCCTCGGTGAACTTTACCCTTAATGCTATCCATTCCTCCTGAAGTTTCTCAAAGTGGAGACCCTAAGCACCCTAGGAAGATTTCTGGCGCTGAACAAATCTCTTTAACTCTCCCTATACTCTGTCACTGTTAATTAAAAATGAATAGAAAGAAACTTAACCCTATTTTCCTAAAGAAAAATGAGAATGCTTCTGATATCCCAGTTTAATCAAAAAAGCATACACGCCACTCGATTTAGCCCATGTTCTTTGCATTAATGCACAAACTGGATGTCATTCAAACTCTGAATTTGTTTTCATGAATCTCTGGAATTCCCATCTGCCATGTCCACGTGTACAAAATCAAGTTTCTCAGCCATAGCTGCAGGATAACTTTCAGTAGTTGCCTCATTAGTTTTAAATGTTAGGAACCATTCACACCCTAAAAGTGGATGTGCTTCTGCAAGGAAAAATTGATTATCTCAATTACATTACCTTAGGTTTAAGCAGGCTGGAAGAAGAATTTGGCCACAAACATTATACAGGGATAAAATGGTCACAACCTGGCTTTTGTAAGAGAGAGAGAGAGAAACATATTAGAAATGATCATTGCATTAGAGGATTTTCAGGAGCTGATGTGAGCCCTAACAGACTTTAAAAAGAACATATGTGGGAAAATTAAGGAACTCAGGTTTCGTCATTTAAGATGATAGCAACCCTTTAATATAAAGGAGTAGTGATTAATGAAATTGATTAAAAAAGGCATAGGCCAGAACTGCAGATGCATATAAAGAATTGGGGCAGTATAGCTCTTGTGCTTTCCTTTCTTCCTTTCCTCTTCCCCCACCCACTTCCTTCCATCTTCCCTCACAAATCTGTGACTTACTTTCCTGTGTTGTCTCTCCTCTTGCACTTTTAAGTTCTTTGGAGTAGGAATCATCTTTTGGTGGTGAATTTGCATAGGGACTACATTAATTTGTCATAATCTGTGATCAAGACTCCCAAGTACTACCGCATTACAAATAATCAATATAATAGTATTACTGAGTAGTAACATATGATAATTTAATATTGCTGAGTAATACTAAGGATAAGAATAGAAAGAGAGCCATACAAGAGACACTGGAAAACCAAAACAATGGAAACAAGGAAGTACTTCTGAAGAATAGCAACTGGGCCATCAGCTAAGAGAAGCGAAAACACTGTGCAAATGAGGAGAAGCAATAAAAGAAGGCAATTAAGAAAGCAAGAATGACAAACATGACATGATTGAGCAGAGTTTCACTAAGAGAAAGTTGTCAGAGATTTTGATGAGGAAAGTTTTAGTGGAGCGGAAAAAGGTGGAAAGGAACCTTGAATGAAATCAAAATGCATACCACCTCCGGTTCTCTTGCTGCAGGGCAATAGTGCTTTTGGTTGACCTTAGCTAATTTTGTTTTCACATCAAACACTTTTGAATAATTGTTATTTAGTGTCCTGGTTGCTAACAACTGCAGGTTAATTAAAGTCTTGCCATAATTAGACACAATTTTAATGCCTCCACTGCACATGCTGTATTCTTAGAAGCTTTTGTGAAGTAAAGTGCCCATACAAGAGTATGCAACACATGATACTTACTGTATTGCAGAATCTATATTGAAGAAGCACAGAACTATAAATATCTTATACTCAGTCCAGAAATGAAATACTTATACCATATTCTGCATCTTTGCATGGCTCTGGGTAAACAGTGTAAAGTGCCAGTGGTCTGTGGAAAGTGCCTGTGGAAAACCACAGTTTGAACCATGGGTAGCAATGACTGCAGGCACCCACAATAGAGCAGGATTGAGGCTTCTCTCATTTCTAAGATGCATAAAAACACCTCTCTTCCAAGTGGTCTCCAGTTATACTGAGTTGAGGCTTGGCCTTTATTTGGAAAACAAAAATGTGTTATTTGCTGGGGTCTGGTAGAATGCCCAAAACTGTCCATTTTGCCAGTATAGTTCTAGTTCTAATCTTAAATACACTAATATTCTGAACAGTATCAAATATACTAGGCACTATAATAGTAGCCTGTGTTAGCAGTGTAGCACTTTCCACATGTAACTCGGCAACAGAGGCATTTTATGAGAGAGGTTTCGGCTAGTGAGCCCTATAAATCCCAATAGCATTGCCCAGATCTTTTGGTTAGCATATCCCTCTCTTGAAATCAGAGAATTTTGCTAGACTGTCCTGTAGGAGTGAAGCCATCAGCAAAACAAGGTTTCCACTGTTAAAATATTTGTACAGTCCATTTGATTATTTTCAAATATACCACTTCCTCCAGTCCAGCCCGAGTTTCTGAACTAGATGGTATCTTTTAGGACAAATTTCACAAAACTGCAACAACATCAACAAATTGTACTAAGAGAAGAGAAATAGCGGAAAGTGAACTTCTGCATTAAGAAATATAATTGGAAAATCATCCTTTCCATTATGTCATCTCCCCTTATTGCATTGGCCATACAGTAAGACACCCAACAGAATTCTGGGACTGGAAAAAAGATTGGTTTTTGTGTTTACTTATGTGTTAGCAATCATATCTCAGCACCAAATTAGGAGGCAGCCCTGAAATAATTACTGCTGCAGCTTGCTACAAAAATTACTACTCAGATAGCCAAGATAGACTCAAGGATGGGTTTAACATGCAGCAAACATGAACAGTGGAATGGCAGCAGACCTCATGTTGATATTATGACCAGGGAGATAGGGGATACTTTGGTGGGAATATTACATAGAGGGAAAAGCAAGGAGAGAGGGGACATTGAAAGGAACAGGGGATGATGAAAAAGGGTAAGGGGAGAAGGCAGTGGGAAAGACAGCTGGGATTAGGTTGAGGTGAAGAGAGTATCAGGAAGGAAGTTCAGGAAGAAGAGACTGGAGCAAGAGATGTCAGTACAGTGTAACAAAAGGTCCAAACCTGCTGAAGGTAGGAAGTTTCACAAACACCCAAAGGACTTTCCCTGGTCTGACTACATATGAAGCTGCCCCTGCAGCTCCAGCCTCTGACTGGATCTTTCTCTGAGCTTCACCCTGGAGGGTGAGTAGGAAGGGAGGAAGCAGCAGCTGGATTTTATTTTTCCCCAAATAATTTCCTGCATGGCTGATGCTTGGGAGAGTAGTAGTTACAGCTGAGTCCTATCATACCCTTTCTCCTCCAGGATAGCTGCCCATGCTGTCTGATAGAAATGTGGTCTCTACCTCACACAAAGCTTCTCTCTCACCACATAGTTACTATCAGGCCTGTTTATTCCAGTGTTGTAGTTTATTCCCTCCATTGCATTTTGCTGTTCCCATCCATCATTCATTCATAACAGGCAACATCTTTTCTGGACTAGTATGGTGAAGGTGTATTTGGCCTGTGTAAAAGCTCTGAGACATGCAGGAAAGACTCTGCATATTTATTAGCCCAGGTTTATAAGAAAGCTCACCTCCTCTGTCTTTTTATTGTTTCCTTTTGCTTTCATTCCAAGTAATAAAGTCTACCTAGTCCAAATTCAAATGTTTAGTGCCTCAAGCTCTCAAATGCAATCCATCCCTGTTCATTTTCTTTATGGAAAGCAAGGCTGTGATTAGACATGAAATAACCATAGCTAATAAATCTGTTCCCAAGGACTGAGTAATCTTATTACAAGTGGGAAATGACAGTTCATTCATCAACATGTGGAGTTCTTTAGAAGAGCTGGTATAGCTTAACTGATGTGGGGAGGCAGAGAAAGTCATCTTGAAGGAAGCAAGGAACCTCCTGTGATGTTTTGCATATGTGGTGACTTCTGTGGGAAAGAAGAATACTGTGCCTCTTCTACCCCGGGATATAGTTCAGACTAATTTTAAAAGTAAAGATCTTGGTGGTTGAGGGGGTGCATAAATGTCTCCCATGAATCTAACAGGTTTGACTGTTCTTAACAGAGATGAGACTACACACTGCATGTGGTGGGAAGAAGGTTTATGTATGAGCCGGAAGTGTATTTCCTGTCTGCTTGGAAAGGTCAGGAGACCTCTTTTCTGAGGTCTGAGGACCTCATGGTGAGGTGTCAATGTGGTGTCATGTGAAATGCAAGATTTTACTTCCAGAAAATATGATCTTTTTTCAAGCTAATGGTGTTTTTGCTAGTTTAATTACATTTGGGAGAAAAGGAAAGTTCTGCGATTTTCCAAACAGCGAAAGATTCAATCTTTATTCAGAGTCTGTTTATTCCTTTCATGTTCCATAGTAACAATACAATGCCTATAGTGACAGCTGTTTCCCTGCAGATACAAGATGGGAGTATCAGTCCAAGAGAATTTCGAACTGTTGGCACTCAGCATGGTTTCAAGAATCCTGATGTCCAAACTAGCATGTTTAAATATCACATTTTGTTCCTTTCATCTGTGAAATGCGTGTGTAATTTTCTAATTCACACAGTGAAATCTCCTGAATAAAAATCAGGCAATAGCTGCTTTTTGTATGTTTTTTTTACATGACTGGTTGTTGGTGGTGTTTGCTTTTGTGAGTCACAGGTGATATTCATTCATCAGCTGTGCAAGAATTGAAAATGTTTAATGTTTTTTCCATTTGAAAGTAAAGCACTATGAACATCTCTCTTGGAGCTAAATTTTTGTCAGCTTTATACCTGTAAGCCTAATTTACATCTTTCTTACAATAATCACAAAGATATCTGAGGAGCTGCCAGTGAATAAGTTTGTAAGCCATAAATTTTTCCTCATCCTGGCCAAATGGAAGAAGCTGTTGAACACCTATTGAGAGTAAGACAGCTGGCAACCTCCAAGTCAGAGCTCCACATGTAGGCAATGTCTCAGCAGAGGTTGAGTAACATGGGTGGAGTTGTCTCTACAAACTGATGAGAGCACAAAATGGGGCGTTCTTTGGTTGAAACTGGCTTCCTTGTCAGAAGTAAAAAAAATTAAAGACTGGAAGCAGTAAGATAAACAAGTGTGGCCCTGAGAAGGTGCTGAAAGAGAGAGACCAAAGATTTGGAAATTGTTAGCAGGAAAATAGTCTCCCTCTACCTCTTCTTCTCCAAGCAAACTGTTCTCGGTGTTCACACGCTGTAAATAAACTAGATTACGTTAACAAAAACTCTATCTCATTAAATTATGTTTGCCTTATTATGGGGAAAAAAAACCACCCCAAAAATGCAAAGCCCCAAATATTGGTTAACTGCTCAGATAGCAAATAACAAAATGTTTTACAAAAAGCAGTAAAGTAATAAAACAATGGAGTCTAAATTTGCACATAACATTTGTTATGCAGCTAGAATGGGGAAGTAAATAGAATAGCAAAGGCCAATCTAAATTTAGAGGATAACCACCAACGAAGTTCCACTGAGCACCCCAAATTCTAGGAAAAGGAAAGAACAGAAAGCTTTGTCAGGAAGGGAAGGAAATTGTTGACCACCTTTTCACAGAATCACAGAATGGTTGAGGTCGGCAGGGACCTCGGGAGATCATCTAGTTCAACCCTGCTACTCAAAGCAGGGTCAGCTACAAAAGGTTTCCCATAGCTATGTCGAGTTGGGTTCCAAATATCTCCAAGGATGAAGACTTCAGAACCTCTCTACATTCAAGCATAGCTTCAGAGTTAAACCATGGCAACCGTGGGTTTAAAAGAGGAGAGAGTCACTAATGGCATTCTGGAAGGAAGATCTAACCAGAAATGACTGAGCCTTTGAGACAATTGAATACCTGACAGAAAGTTGCCTACTTTTTATGAGGCCATTTCTTTTATAATAGCATGAGAAGTTGAGTCTTACAATACTCCTGAAGGGTCCAGTTGTGCTGGCAGCTGAGCAGGGGAGGAAAGGAAACAAATAGCATATTTCAGGTGTCACTCCACTCTCCTTCAAAGGTTCATGCTACTATTCTTATCCTTCACATATTTGAGAGCTGTTGTCAAACCTATTTTACTACCAGCAAGTCCTCCTTTCCTCCCTGTTGCACATATTGGCCAAGAAGAGAACACTAACTGGAGTGACTGGTCTAGTGAATGTCTTGGGAACATGGATAGTAATTACATAAATGCAGGAGGCAGTGATAAAAGCTGAGTGGAACCAATAATTCAGACTAATGGAGAGGCCTTGATAAATGCATAGCTGCTTAGACTCCAACCCTACTTCTAAACAGAGGCAAACACAAAATTAATAGATGAACTCGTGAATCAACAGATATTAAGGGTAAGAGGAAATCCAAGACTGCCAATTTTGAGAGTATAAAATGTGTCACAATTTTATCTGTGAGCATCTAACTAGCACCCATATTGCCTATGAGTACCATAGGTGGTTAGATGTTCAAGCCTTAAATGAAGAACTGTTGTTTATTCATAATGTATGTCTAGATTAATTTAGAAAGACCACCCAAAAAGCAAATATGACAATAAATGTCTTGTAGAGACTACATATTTCATTGCTTTGTGCTCCTGATAACATTTGAATTTCTTGTTGAATTTTAGAGGAAAAGTATTATTGTCCTTCTCAAGAATATGATCATAAGATGGCTGATACCACACAAGAGCAAAGAAATGGAAGTGCAGACTCAAATTATAAAGCCATCATTTTGAAAAATAAACATTAGCTTAAAGTCTCTTTTGGATTCTCATCATCCTACCTCTCTTCCTCCCTAACTGACAATACAGTGAATGTCAAGTTCAGCTATAAGATCTGCTGTACCCAGATTCAACAGAGGGGAGTATTTTATACAAATTACTTTTATTTGGGGGTGCAGTAGCCCTAGATGCTCTCTCAGCAGACTAAAGAAACTAAGAAATCTCTTACTCCTCTCTAAATCTGAAGCACTGAGTCATTTTTTTTTTTTAACAACTAGAGAAGTTTCACAAGTCTGAAGTTAGCCAAACATAGTTTGGGACAACAGTGTAGCAATGAGGCCCAGATTCCATCCCTCTGAACACAGGAAAAATGCAAACTAGGAAATCACAAACCAGGAAGTCACAAACTAAATACTCTATGAACAACTTTCACTGGTGAAAGAAACCTCCGCAAGGAGGACAGGGCCTCTGCTACACAAAAATTTTTAAATCTTTTCATTTACAACAAAGTAGGAAACAAAACTAGTTCAGACATTTTGGAAGATAATTTATTTAGTCATTTCTCAAGAGAATGAGCACATAGTGCGGAAGGATATACTGGCAAGCACAAATATAAACTTTCTTGTTTATGAAATAGAAGAAATACTATAAATAAATGTCTGGGAAGTCCTGGTGCTTACCACTTAAATGCTTGAGCCAGCCTAGGCAATAAATAAATAAATATTGCTACCCTTTGCCAAGCTGATGGGTAAAATGCTCTCACAATATTTCCAGTACTTTATGTCTATGGCTTGGTCATAGACCACAAGCAAAACTTTTCCATGAGGATTTTGGAATTTCCATTTCTGTGCAAGATTGGGAAATGCAGAGCTGCCCTCAGTATGGGGAAAAAGGAGTTTCCAGAAACTTATACCAGGACTTCTGCACCACAAAAATTCTTGGGTTGAGTCACTACATCTTTATCCAGTGCGTGTCACCCATACCACCCCATAACTCATTACCATGTCAGCACCGCCACAGCACTGTCCCCAACAGGGGGATCCTGATTAGATCTAGAGCCTTTAAGAAAAGAAGATATCTGGGGCTGTTCTACAGAGGCCTTGCAGAATCTCAGAACATGAAGAAACGGTCAAATGATCAAAATGGAGCCTGCTTGGAGTAAAGGGTGGCATGTGAGAAGGAAAGTGCTAACCCAAAACACCTTCACATACCATGAAGAACTAGGCTACTGCTATTGGCCCTCTGATGAACATCTTAACTCCTTTCTCCTTACTGCTTTGCGTATCACCGTCTCCAAACCCTCCACCCCTTCAGCTCTTAATCTCAGATTAATATAAAATCTTCATGACTGAAAGATGTCAGCATGGCTAGAATGACAGTTTCAGAGACACCCATATTGCAACTTTGGCAGATTTCAGGGACCTTTCTGGTAATCCACTGCCCACACTACCTTTCCCTCCTCTGCTGGGTTATCAAGGCAGACAGCTTTCTACAGCACCCAGAGAAACTTCCCCTGTAAGCTCTACAAAGAAAGTAGAATGTTAAATAAAGGTAGTTATTCATTTTCTTAGAGCAGAGACATCACAGAAGAGTGTGGCTGGAAGGAGCCTCAGGAGGTCAGGTATTCAGCCCAACCCCTTTTTCCATATCCAAATCATGACATATAGATATCTGTGCATTTGAACAAATAGACATTGGATGATGAAAGGGATTCCACAGTTTCCCTAAGCAACTGCACCGATGCTCAGGTAACATCTGATCTAAATCTCTTTTGCTGAAAAATAAGCCAGTTTCTGCATGTCTTGTTCCCAGTGATCATGCAATCCAATCAGTCACTGTCTTCTGTATAACTGTCTTTGCATACCTGAAAACTGTTATCATTCGCCTTTTCAAATCCTCAGTTCCAGACTAAACAAACCCAGCACTCTCAGCTTTTCCACATCGGTCTTATTTTCCAAACGTCTTTTTAGTAGAAACCACAGGCCAGCTTACAGGCTTAACCTTGAAATCTAGCACTGAGCTTGTATTATCTGTATACTACAAATAACAAAGTAATATCAAACATTGCAAGCTAACCGACAGAAAATGTCAGGACAGGATTTTGTAGTTTGATATAACAAAAAAAGCTTTTATGTGTAAAGGGTGTAAGCGCTCTGGCTAGTCTCTGGCTGGTAGACAGTGAACATACAAAGGGAACTCTGGAAATACCACATTCACTACATTGAAAAATAACCTCTCTTCCTCTCTCTCTACAGCTCTCCATAAAATTTCAGTTGCACAAAGTAATGGAAACTTAACTCTGAAAGCAGAAAAATGACAAGCTGGAGGATCTCATAGGTTCCTTTTCAATCTGCCCCGGTTCTTCACAAGCTACAGAAAGTTACTTGTCCAGTATTTGCAAGGAATCAATTCATGGCTTCATGGCACAGCTGCTCCTTTTGCTTCACAGAGTGTTGTGTTTGTTACTGAGGTTGTGATTGATGTTAGGGATTAGCTGTACTGAAAATGTGGAGCCTTTACTTTCTCAGAATCCTAATCAAAATGTGTGATTTTTCCCATTTGAGCTCCCCTTTCTCTGCTTTTTCATCCAGCTCTTCTCTAGAAACCATGTGCAGCAAATGGCATGCATGTCCGTCTCGGCAAGAGCAGGCAGAAGCCCTTATATGGAGCCGCTCACATCTCACTACAGTTTGTTGCTCACAAACATAACGCTGTTTGCAGCCAAGCCTGCTGTGCAATTTTTGAAGATGGCTGCTTGCAATAAAACAGTGTGAATTCACAACACAGCGTGAGACAT